TTTAATGAATATGGGCGGGCCTGTTCGCCCAGATGGGCTAAAAGTAACTTCCAGATCCGCCCAAATACAATTCGGGCTTGGGTCGGCCCGCCCATGTGGGTATTAAAGATTGTCCAAATCCGCCCATTTTAAAGGGCGGGCTGGGCGGGCCGGACGGGCCGACCCTTGTTTGCACAGATCTAAGTCAAACATGTTACGATTGAAAAATGGCAATCGATCTCGAATATTATTACCTGTCACCGCAACTATTAGGAATCGGACAACCTATGCCTTGTCGACTGTGCAACGCTCAGTGGCGAGCATTAAATAAAAAAGGCAATAAAGGGTGATTCTTCCACTTGTTAGGCTATGGGGTATGCGTGCGGAAAAGACAACGAGAAAGCTGACTAGGCACCACTTGAAGAAGAGGAACACCACCCCTCCTATTCGAGAACGGGAAAGACAGGATACCCTTCCCTTTTTTCTCGTGCATCGCTAGCTTCTCCCCAATTTCAACCATTCAATGGTCATTCCTTTTTTATTTTTTTTCTTTTTTGAATTTCATTTGTTAAAAGCAAAAAAAAATAAAATTCAAAAAAAATCCTTATTTAAACGCCTCTTCCAACTCACAATTTTAAACACCTCTTACCTTCAATTTCTCTTCATTTTCAAACAAAAAAATCATCTATTTTTTAATTGTTTTATTTTACTCTTGTTTGTATATTATTCTAATTTTTCAGAATGTTGTCTCCCTCCTCTAATACGATGACAACTTCTTCTCATTATTCTTTTTCATCGGATGAAGGTGAACTTTACTTTGTTCATATACGTGATAGTGGAGGCGGCAAAAATTATATTACAACATGCAAAAATCAAAAAATATGTTGGAGCCGAGAAGAAATAGATAGTTGCCACGAGATCGGATATGTATAAAAATTTAAATCCTACCTATATTTGTTCTTTTAATTGCAATTAAATCTAAATCTTCATACTATTTTTTTTCTATAAATTATGTTATGCACACCGTAGGTGGTCACGATCGACTTGTGGCCAATTACTTTGCGGAAAATCTGGTATACACCGACGAACAGTTTAGGTGTCACTTTTGTATGAGTCGCCACTTTTTCCTCTGTATTGTCAATGATTGGGCACATGCAAATCCTTTTTTACTCTATAGTCGGATGATAGGCAGAAGTTGGTTTTTAGTACCATACAAAAGTGCATTGCGGCGGTTTGACTACGTTTATATGGCACATTCTCTAACGCGCTTGATGATTATCTAAGAATGTTCGCGAGAACGTCCCGTGAATGCTTGCACAAGTTTGCCAAATGAGTCTTCAAGTTATACAGAAAAGAATATTAACGGAGACCAACTTAGAAAGACGTTCAAAATTTGTTCGCCGCAACTCAGGGTGAGTGTATGTTATCTAATTTTTTTAGTGAAATTTGCACTAAATATGATTAAAACATAAGTCATTTAATTTCCTAATCTAGGACTTACACTTTTTTATTCCCTAAATAGGACTTAATAATGTCTAGTTAGAAGAATAATGTAACGCCCTGAAACCCGGCCTATCAGAATTAATTAATTAATTAGAAATAATTAATTAATTATTGAGACGGACTCGGTGGAAATTATATGTATCTGTCGTTTGACAATAAAGATTATACCGTTGTGTAGGATTCGACGGATCGAATCTAACGGTGGAATCGGATTTGGATTTGGAGTCAGTGGGCTCGGAAAGTGCGTTTGGGCCAGGTACGTTCAGTTAATACGGAGCCCAAAACCCCAAAAGTAAAAATACACTCCTTACACGCCCCAAACCCTCACGCCATACCATATTTACTTAACTTTCTCCCCACTCTCTCACGTCTCTCGTTCCTCTCGATCGAAGCAGCAGCGACGCACGGCAGGAAGAAGGAGAAGAAGAGAAGAAGAGAAGGAAGAAGGAAGAGGAAGAATCCGACGTTGTTGTTCGTGAGTACCATCTCATAGTTTAATCATCAAATTCGAGGTGAGTACGTGGTCATCTAACGTATGGTTATATTCGTAGGTTTGAATCTGACGTTCGTAGAATCGTTACGGTTGATCTATTTGGACTATACGTGAATTATGTCTTGTTTGCGTAGTTTATGATGTGAAAAGCATGTTTTGGGATATCATGATTGGGGGATGGTTAGATAATGTTGGGTTGATGGTTTATGATCTATTATACTTGTATTTACTGGAACTAAAGCTGTTTGATGGACGAAAACGGAGCTGGTGCAAGTCTGGTGTTCGCCGCGACAGACGGTAGGGGGTACCGTTGACACGGTACTTGACTACCGCCAGCCTCCCGGGTTTTGTCACTCTCTGTCGGTACCTGACTTAGGACGGGACCTAGGTACCGTATGGACGGTGGGCTCTACCGTCTGACCGGTAGAGGCTACCGTGACGGGCTACCAAAAAGGACCCCAACTGACACGGGCGGTACCCCCATACCGTAGGGACGGTACCCTGGTGCCGTGGGGCCGGTAACCCCTATCGCCAAGGGGTACCGTGACGTACCTGAACCGGTCTGCATTTTGTTGTTTGCGTCGAGGATTGATTCCGAGACTTTGTGTGTTGCATGACGGTAAACATGGGTGACAATACCCAGTGTTAGGCCGTTGTTTGGGTGTATTGAATGTGATGAAATATGTGTATGATGCATGAACAGGTATGCTATGAACTAATGGCAATTAAAGGATGAAATTCCTAGAACGAACACTAGGATCTGACCTGAATGGAAACAATGGCAAGTCATGTCATTAGTTAGTAAGTAGAGTCATGTGGTACCTGCTGGGTCCAATGGCTGTCCGGGTAAAAACGTGTACACGGGGATCTAAGAACTGTCGTTCCGAAGGGGACAGGGATCTCACCCACCCAACGAGGAACTCCCGAGTTGGTTTGAGCTTGACCTTCGTTCCGAAGGGGAAGGTCATGACTCCCATAGGCAAGTCGTATACAGTAAGCTTTTACCTAGAATAGGATAAGAGCCGAGCACAGAAAGAAAGTAAAGTAAAGTAAACAATGAAGAAAGTATTCTTTATTATATCCTGTACTCATTAAAATTGTATGATGAAATATCTGCGTAGGTATGTTATACACTGTATGATGTGATGAATGTGTGAGCCTGATTGTGTGCATGATATCGTATGAGGATATGGGCTAGTGGGATCATTTACGGGTATAGCTGTATGTTAGATATTTCTCACTTAGCGTCAATGCTGAGCGTGTAGCCTTTTTTCCCTATTTGCTACACGTAGGTAATCCAGGAAATGATGAGCTTGGAGCCAATCCTGGAGGGCGATGAGGAGGCTGAGATGTGCGTGGCGGTGTTCGATGATTTTGAATTCTTATTAATTATTTAAATAACTTATTACTATTTCAGGCATGACTCCCAAGTTGTGTTTTGGATTATGAATTTAGCTTCCGCAAACGTTTTGATTTGCTCTGATGGATAATTAAATATTGTTTTGAATTAAATGTTTTGAATTGATTTGGAAATGATTGTGTTTGAATACCAACTTGGTAGCAACCCGATCCGTTGATCCTTGTATTCGGGTCACGCGGGTTGGAGTGTTACAAATAATGTCCAATAATGATGAACATTTACTTGAATAATGACTAATTGATAATGAGCAAAGGTCCTACATTGGAAAATAAAAACATATGGTCCTATATCGGAAAATTCATTATGTTTTAGTCCTATTTAGGTAAATTTCTCATTTTTATTGTATTTATTTTACTTTTACTCATAATAAAAAAAGTGTATTATATTTCATTTTTTAATTTTTCATTTTATTTTCTAACTTTTTCAAAAAAATGTTTTGTTTTGCAAAATAAATAAATGAAAATTTTAATTTGAGAAAGAGGGTGTATATTTCATTTTATTTATTTGTATAAAAAATGCAAATAAGAGAGTGAAACTTGAAAATAGAGAAAAACAAAGGGCATATATATCATTTTATTTCATAAAATAGGCAAGAGCGGGTCTCTGTGCCCAATTTAAAAACCATAGGAGTTTTATGAATAATTTTTGCAAATAGAGGAGGTTTTGGTACATCTTTTGTAAATCACGGGAGACATCCATGCTATTACCCTTAGATTGTAAGTATTTGTTTGAAAAATAAGATGCTTATAAATGAATGATATTAATATGATGTGGATACGAAAGAATGTTTGGATAAATGAAAGGATAATGCTATTTGTAACCCAAGAACTCCTACCCTATTTTGTACACCGCAGAGATGCACCAATATTTTATGTTGGTGTAATGCTAATTTTTGTTAACACACCAACATTTTGTGTCAGTGTAAATTTTTGTTAACATACCAATACTTTGAGTCAGTGTGAACCATCAAAATATTAATATATATCTTAAATGTACAAATGGAATACAAATTTTGAGATAAATGTAGCATGCTACTAAATGAAATGCTATGATGGAATGCTTTAATAGAAATGTTATTCGCCGACCCAATCTTGAAACCGGGAAGAGGCTCTCGTTGGAACATGAAATCCCGAGGTACCGTACCAAACGGGCTAGAATAAAAGCCTAAAGGTAACTTCACAGCTAAGCGTCTTCTGTACCCGGTATGAGTATAACCGTTAACTGAAGCAACATAAATTAACCATACCAAATCAAAAGCTTAGATCTCACTTCACTACCTTTTATAAGTGCAATTATAAATTAATCCTGCGGAATCAAATTCTTTTTTAGCAATTGTTCCCAAAGTATTCCAACATTTGGAATTCTTAGAATTTCGATTGTATCATTCAACTTTTAAAGACAAGAAAAAATTTAAAAAAAATTACTACAATTTAACTTTTCTAATTAAAGTGTGATAATCAAACCGGGTAATTCATAGTCAAATGATAACATTTTATTTAAAAAATCAAACAGTGACAATCTTTTAGAAATGAAAAGAGTATAAATTTGTAATTAAGCTTAGTTATAAATTGGAAAAATTTGTCTATTCTAAAAAAATACTCTAACACTGGTGAATTTCGTTTAATCTAAGGACTCAAATTATGCTAGCGTGTATACAACGATACTCTAACGTGCTTCATACAATTCAAGCTCGGTTTGACAACTCCAATCCAATCTAAAATTAAATAAAGCTCCTAAAAATTCCAACACAAAATTCGTATAAGAAACGGAATTGCTCTTTGGATTATTTTTTTGGGGGGGAGTACAATTTCAATTTATAATCGATCAACAAGAGCGAAATGACAAAGTAGTAGGCAGATGGTGGTGGTGGTGGCGGAGGTGTCCGGCGGCGGCGGCGGCGGAATTCGCGTCCTCCTTCTCGATCCGCCAGCGAATATGGAGGAAATCATCGACGGAACAGGGGAGGCGGATGGGGCCGTCGGCGTGGTAGCCGTAGACTTCGCGGGCCTTGTCCAGGAGATTCTGGAAGAGAGGATGGTAGAGGTACGAGATCGGGATAACGAATCTCCGGTTTCCGCCTTCTCCTTCTCCGTCGTCTGGCCCCACCTGAACCGCGAGCCAACCTTTCTTCACTTTCGTGCTCATCTCCGCAGAAACCTAATGCATTAATTAAACAAAACTTCAAAGGGAATTTAAGGGAGAGATGATGAGGATTGCGAGGAAGAGTGAGAAAGGTGGAGTCTTGCGATTGGGTATTTATAAGGTTGAAAAGTCATTGATGGAGAAACTAAAGAAGCATAATCTAATAAGTTATGCCTTGTAGCATTTGGCATGGTACCATTTTGAGTAGTCTTTAGACTTTGGTAGTTGGTAAAGTTGTTCCACTTCCACCTATGGCTAATTGGCTATGACTCTATGAGATCCCAATATGCTCCGGTTGGTAGTTGTGTGGGTCAAAATGAATTGTGGTGCATTGTTACAAGGGTTAACCGGAATTGCCTAGGCCGAGACGGAAAAAAAACCCTAAATTCTTTATCTTTATTGATTGAACGAATTAAAGTGTGTAAAATAATTACATTTAGATGATATTTAACATACTAGTATTATAAAAAAAATGAGTAAATGACAAAATCATTATAAGGATTTATATCTACTTATCTCCCCAAACTAATGCCTTGAAAACTGGACCAAATTTTGACCTGGACGAGCTAGTAGGTCAAGGGTTAATCAGTCGACCTCGGGATCAACGACCCGATAAACTATAATTAAAAGAAATATTTTATATTATATTATTAGATGTCTTTAACTAATAAGGAATTTTAATTTGTATTTTTCACTCTTCCATCTTGTTTTCAATATAACTTTGCATATACGGTTACACTTTCTATTCCATATTTGTATTATTTTCTAATCACCATTAAAGATAAATAATAAATATCTAATAAATAATCAAATAGTTAGGCAATACTCATATTTTTAAAAGTAAAGACTTGTAATGTGTTCTTAAATAATACTCGTACCTCGTAATTCGTATGTAACACGTCAGACTTATATTTATTTGATTGAAACGGGAAAAGGTAAAAGAAAAACTAATTTCAATATATTAATAAATATTTCTTAATTTTTGTTGATGACAATAATTTTTTCTGTATTTCTTTTTTGAAAAAATATTTTTTAGGTATAAGTATTCAAATTAATTTTTAGATAAAACATAATAAATTTAATTATTTTTTGAACTATTTTTATAAGCTCATAAAACAATTACCGGAGTATATTAGATACTATTGTTTCTTTTTCTAAACAATTGGAAGTTTTAATGAAATAAAAATAGTTGATCTATGTTCTTTACTATGTGGCATGTGTAACAACAAGGTTAGTAGCTTAGTGGACGAATCTTTTCCATACACCCTATATTTCCCAAGTTCAACTCCCACTCCCAGGATTTTAAGATTTATCATTAGCTAAATTTACATTTCTCAAAAAAATGTGGGCCCGGTCGTTAGGGCTGCTCGGCCCACAACCAGGCGGGCCCAATAATGTCCATAACGGTACTAGGGAGATGGTGGGTGTTGGGGTATAACTTCTTTTTTTACTACATAGACAGATATGCTAGAGCCAAGGTCTGCGTTTATAGTCTCATCTCCTCGGCCTGCTGATTAGTGTCTGATTTCTTGGTGATTTTAGTGTCATCGGCTATTATTTATAATTAAGTTTGTTGGAATATGTTTTCACATTGATGTTTTTCCAATGCCAACGTTTATTTTATGTAGGGGTGGGTTCGGTTTTGGCGGTCGGTTTTCACCCAAAACCAAAGACAAAACTAAAGGTAAATTGGCGGTTTTGTTCGGTACACTTTTGTATAAAAAATTAAGTTAATCGTTGGTTATTCAGTTTGGTTTTATATGGTTTTACTTCGGTTTTTTTGGTTTTTCGATTTATAAAAGTAGAAATTTATAAGCATTAAAAAATTGTAAAAACATTAACTCAGATGAAACAATAACATGTAGTGTTAGCTTTGGCTTTTTTGTTTGATTTTTACACAAAAACAAAAATCAAATGGAAGGTTATTGTTCCTTTCAGTTCAATTTTACATAAAAAATATATGTTGAGTATCCAACAAACATTTAGAAGATTCCAAATACTTCTAAAGACATGTATGTAAAATCAATTACAAAGAATTTATGTTTTTTGGTATAATACTTTCATTTTCATTATAACATCAAAGTATTTTTTTATGTAAATATGTTAATTACTTGTATCAATTTTTAATGTTCATATAACTCTATATTAGGATTAGCTATTGGTGTTCATATTCTTAGGTTTTTTTTAAAGTTTATAATAATATGGCTAGAATGTTTAATTAGTATTTAAGAAAATAATTTTAATCGACTAGTAATATATTTGTATTTATATTTCTATGATTTTTCTACATATGACATATATTCATATAAATAAAGCGAAGTATCTAAGTAAGTTCATTTTATTCAGTCTGGTTCGGTTTTTTAAAGTGAAAACAAAATGGAACCAAACACTAACGGTTCAATTCAGTTTTTTTACATTTGGTTTTGGTTTTTTCGTTTTGGTTTTTTTCTAACTCGTTTCGATCGATTTTGGTTCGGTTTGCGGTTTTCAGTTTTCCCAACCTAGCCCTAATTCTATGTAGGTTTTGATATTGACAAACCGCCATGAACATAGAACAAATTAAGAGGATTCAAAGGCGATGACAAGAGTTCTTTGAAGTGAAACTAAATGCAATTCAAAGCACATAAATAGCCAACCATACAATATTACGGGGTGAAAAAAATATTTTTAAATGTACTTTAGTTTATATGAATTTTAACTAACATTTTTTTATGTAAGTTATAATGTTTATTTTATACCAATTTATAAAAAACTAAAACATATGAAATTTTACATTTTGTTTAGATATGATAATTCATTTTAGACATAGGAAGTAGTATAAGTATATAACTAGTTTATCAAAGTGCACGGTTTCATTGACACTAGTCAACGGTGCATTAGCAATGTCACTTCGTTTTTGAAGCACTTCCAGTACTCCAGTAAAAAATGATGGTTTCTACCCCCTAACTCGCCCTTTTAACCCCCCCCCCTCTCCCCACCCTAGCCCAACTCCTACCCCACCATAAGCCTACCTCCAAATGTGTGGCGCCACACATTTGGAGCGGGGCTTAGGACGGGGCTGGGTGGGGGAGGGGGTTGGAGGGTAGGGGTGAGGCTAAAGTGGGGGTTTAGAAGAAGGTAGGAAACATCAATTTTCCGATTGGAGCATCTTAGGTACTCTAAAGACTTAGTGGCACCGTTGGCCAGTGTCGAAGGAACCCCACTCTTTATCAAATTATCAATGAAAATATACAAACAAAAATTATCGAGAAACTGTAATAGTGACAATAGCATCTAATTCTTGACGAAGGAAGTATGTTGTTAACATATTCTTATAAAGTGTACTGTGTGATGATTTTATAAAAATAAATAAAATTCAGTTACAAACCTCTATGATAAAGTAAGAACACCAACAACAATATGGTTGGGTCTCACGAGAGTAGGGTCTGAGGAAGATGTGTGTCCGCAGACCTTACGTCTACTGAAAAGTAGTGAGATCGACTCCAAGAGACCCCCGACTCACACAACACGAACATAAAGAAGAAAAAAGAAGAAAGAACAAGAAAAATGAAAAAAAAGAAGAAAAAGAAGAGGCGTGGGGTTAGGGATGGCAACGAGTCGGGTTCGAGTCGGATAGTACTATACCCGAACCCGACCCGACTTTTAAAACTGAAACCCGAACCCGACCCGAAACCCGACATTCTAAGTCAAAAACCCGACCCGACCCGAACCCGGCATTTCAATCCAAAACCCGAACCCGACCCGAACCCGCCTTTTAATCAATAATCAATTTGACGTACCCCAATAATTTTAAAAGGATTAAATCTAATTTTTTTTGTGTCTCTTTTTTGTGTCTCATTTATTATTAAGAATTATAAAAAATGATTAAAAAACCATACTTGATTTAGTAGCACTTTGTCAAGAGATTATACGAAGTGCTAATTATATCCATAGATAGGCTTTTATGTTATTAAATATTCGGGTTTGAGTCGGGTCGGGTGCGGGTTCGGGTCGGGTAAAATTATAAACCCACACCCGACCCGACCCGAAGTCGGGTTCGGGTAAAAAAATTCGGGTCGGGTTCGGATTATTTTATTCTCGGTTCGGGTTCGGATATTTTAGTGCTCGGTCGGGTCGGTTAAGCTCGGGTTCGGGTTGAATTGCCATCCCTACGTGGGGTTGGATGTTGGAAGGTGGAGTGACGGGAGAGAATTAGTCAAAAAAAAAAGAAGTATAAAGAAAGGGTAATTTAGTCTTTTCGACAAAAAAAATTTGCCAAATAAGGAAACGGGAAGAAAGAAGTGGGATGGCCCAAAAAGGAAAATGAGAAGAAAGATATGGGACGGAGGGAGTAATACGGAGTACAAGTTAATGTTGTTTGAAAGAAATATAATTATGAAATAATGCAAAATTAGAAAGGGAAATATATTATAATTTATAAAGGTTACATAATAAATTAATTCATTTAACATTTCATTATTTTATGTTAAGTCTATAATGGTAACTATTTTATTAGGACTGAGAAAATATTTTTTTTAGGACAGCACTTCCACTTTTTTAATACTGCATCTATATTTTACTCATTAACCAAACCCCACTTGACAATTCAACATGAACTTAAAAAAATGTCCTTCAAACCATTACCGGGCAGAAGATAAACCTAATCCCTTTTCTTGTCCTTTGCAGTAGGCTTCTGATACATGATAATTTGGCTCAAGATCGTCCCATTCATCACTACACCGAGCACGGAACCCATTGCAACTGTAAAAGCAGCAGAAGAAGAATTTGACAATATACAAATGACGTACAGACATACAGACACACAGAGATGAATTTGTGGGTACATTGAAAAGCAGCAATAACATCCCAGTCGAATCCCACAAAAGTACAGTGAAAAGCATATATCTTAAAGAAAAGTCACCCGCTTCAAATTTTCAAGTTGTGAATAACAGAAAAGAGGAGAAAGGATACCGCTTGTTGGAGCCTTTTCTTGGATGCTTGTAAAAACTCTAACTGCCAGATAGAAGTAGCAAAAAAGTTGAAGTATGTCATTAAAACAATTGATGATCCAATATTTGCAATAGCTTACCCATTGAACCTCCAAAGTTCATAAAAAAGGTTAAGAAGCTCAACTCTCCCGTGCTCTTGTTCTGTGAAAAAGAGTGCTTATCATGAATTATCATGGTATGAATGTATGTAATTCTATCAACCAAATAGGATAGGAAATATATGTAAACCATTTGTGCATATGCATTAACAATGTAATTCTGTTAATAATGCTAACATGGCAGCTTACCTTGAAGTTCTGCCATATCTGTGGAATTCTTGCAAAAAGAAAAACCGCATGTTGGGAAGCCTGGAGTGTTATTTTTGCATTAGCATGAGTTTATTCTATAGAATATTTGTTTAATTCATAAATGAAAAATATTGAATTTTGATAGAGTTTTACATCCAAAAAAGATGAGTTAATTAAAGGCAGAAAAGGAGATATGCATGGCACTCTATACATGATAATCTACGAGCTGCAACTTACATAGAGAGCCTCAAAAAGAATGGGATCGATTTTGCCTGCTAAAATAGTTGGTGCAATACCACAGTATCTGTATTAGCTATAAGGAAATGAATCACTAATCCCAATAATGTATTAATTTTAACACTCGAATAATCATGCTACCCAATGGTTCAACATAGTTCCCAAGAAAGATACAGTAATGCTCTCATCCATGTCTTGGTCCCCAAAGGTTGAGAGAAGTAGTAGATGATTGCAACTAAGATGAGTGCTGCAACAAAGCAAAAGATCATACTCCATCTTATTAGGAAACCCCACCATTCCATAAATACATGTAGGGTCCACTTGGAACCTGAAAATACTACTGGGAAAAGGTAGGAAGGAAATTGGAAGGAAAGAAAATGTTTTTTTTTGGGGGGGGGGATAAAAGGTAAGTTCAAACTCAATAAATTTAAGTTAGAACTTAAGGGTGCGTTTATACTTTAAACTAATTTTATTTAATCTCTATGTCCCTAAAAGAGTCCTATTTGAGAGATTATTTTGTCTATAAAGAGAAGTCATATTTGAACAAAAGAAGTGAACTTTCATCATACATTCATACTTATTATTTCCTACTCTGTATTAGTAGCATCCTAAACAAGTTGAGTGTGATAAATCTAGCTAAACCAAAAAAAAATATTAAATAATTCATGATTTTCAATATTAGTTTCTTACTAAAATGAAAAACTGTTACTTTTGTGGAACAAGACTCTTTTTATGAAGATGTAGAATTCATGTATTTATTTAGGGAAGAATTCATGTATGTTATTATATAAAAAATCAAAATTTACCAAATCCAAATATTTGTAAACCATACATCAATCGTATTCCATTTTCCCTTTGCATTTTTCGAAGTAAAACCAAACATAAAAGAGTAACTTTTTTCTGTACTTCGTTCAATTCCCTAGCATTTTCGGGATCCAAAGAGACCCTTAAGAGAGCATAGCAGAAAAGGCTTGCAAATCATGGACTTGAGAGGGCGTGACTTGCGAGTGTCTAATATCTCAATGTAAGAGCTGCTTTAAAAATAATTCAATAAAATCAAATCTTTATAGTCACTAAAATTATTGTGAAAAAACACTACAGAAAATGTACCTTGGATCAAAAGAAATGCATACTCTCCAAAAGCTGAAAAAGGAAGCCCTTTGTGAAGACAATATGCCAGCGCTATGGTATAGCCAACTGCTTCAAGTTCAAAGGCTACCACACTTAGCCCTCTCACACTTTTGTGTTTCAAAATCTTTAATATCTACACATTGCGAACTGAACCAATTAGTCACACAACTCAAAGTGTCCCACTCTTATGGAGCAAAACTAAACAGTAAATACACATATCTTCCAAATAATGGATAGGCGGAAAAACTGTGCAGAAATTTTGATCAAATATTTAAACACTCGGCTCAAGAACCCAAGAGGGTAACGTGTATCAATTACTTTTGAGTTTTGATTTTGTTAATGCCCCATTACTGGTGATTCTTAAACCACTAAAACAGGAAATCTTGTCAAAACTAAAGTAACAGGTTGGAATAAAGATTAAAGAATGAAAACTGAAAACGGCAATCTAGTGTTTCAGTTGCAGTCTATTGGCCCCACAGGGATGGCATTCTGATATTTTTGAATCGGACCCTCAAAGGTTTGAGAGAAGAAACGAGTTCCCAACAATGGTTGCCAAACTAGAGTGGGTTGGGTATGAGGGAATGGGTTTGACAAGATTCTAGGAATCACTTTTAATCATCTTTTCCAACTCAAAACGGGGTATGTGTCTCGATTCCCCAACCCATGCCCAATTCGGCAATTCCGATACCCTAACGAACAAATGGGCCTAACCTGATTGCAATAGAAAAACTCAAACTTTATGCTTGAAATCAGCACTGCATTTCATCACCAAAGCTCAGCAGCAAATCAAAGAACACAATACACACTAAAGATTCATACTTCCTTGATTTGAAGAAGGCAAACCGAAGAACAAAGAACATAGCTAATATCTACGCGCATATCAGAAATTGGAAACACTCAATATGATCCGTTATTACTTATCTTAATTACGCATTACTTAGGTTTTTGGGGGCACTATAGCCCTTTAGGAGTAAGGTTACCTGAGGAAGCTTGACGGTGGTGGAGGCAGCTACGATGGCGTATCCCAACAGCTTTGATACTAACGGAAGCAGACAGTCCCTCCCTGGAAACTCACCTTTGCTGAGAGATCCCAACGCGCAGCTGAAGTCCATTCCGAGAAATTTCAATTCCGCCATGTTTTGATTGAAGATCTCTATCTTGTTTTAACTTCCAATCCCTGCAGAAGTGCTTAGCCTGCTCGAATAGAAGAAAATTGAAGTAAGCGTGTTGGGAGGGTGTAGAATGTAGATGGTACCTCGGGATGTACCTAGGTACAAAGGTACAATGTAAAGTACTTCTTCTAGCATGCATTCATTTTCGAAAACTTTGTTACTCGTTCTGAAAAAACGTAGTATCATTTTCACACATTTTTACAATATATATTTACGAATAACGTAATAGTCATTCTAAAATCTAGTAGTACTCATCCCCACATAGCCTAGTAATCATTCTTCAACTACATACCACCATTCATGCCCTAACTGCGGATCACAAAAGCTTCTTCAGTTCTGCAGGTCAGGTCTTCCTTCTTCTTCTTCATCACTGTATCATCGCAAAACCTCAAGAATCAATACAAACGCGAAGAACAAATCTGCACATCATCATCATCGATCCGCACATAATCACAGATCCGCACGGCTTCTAGCAAACTTCCGATCGGCCAGCCTCCTTCATCGCCGATTTCTTCCTTTCGCCCCTTTTAAACACCGGTTGTACCTATCTCTAGGTATAGCCGAATGTATAATATAATTTGCCGCGTGTTGGTCTTTTTTTCTCTTTTGTTTTCTCCTTTTTTTGTGAGAGAAACATGTTGGTTTGTGATTATTTCGAAACTTTAAAAATTGACCTAATACTGGATAATAAACACAACCCATTTTGTCATCCTGGTTAAAGCAGGTGGGTTTGGGGATAACGAAGCCAGTGGTTTGTTGGTGAGGACATTCACCTGATGGGCATGGAAATACGGTACTAGTTGCTTTTTCGTCAAGTATACCGCCAACTTAGCATTCTCTAGACGGGAGTACCTTAATTATGCATCCTTTAACTTTTTGTTGACATAATAAATGGGGTGTTGAACCCCCTCCACTTCTCACATGACGACCGTGCCTACCGCACAAGAAGAGATCGCCAGATACATAAGCTATATATCCTCAGGTTCTAGTTTGGATAACACTGGGGGATTCACCACATATATTTTTTAGCTTCTCAAATGCCTCCTTGCATTCTTGGTTCCACTCAAAAGCATCTCTCTTTTATATCAAAACAAAGAAAGGGTGAGCTTTCTCTACCAATTGAGACAAGAATCGGTTGAGGGCAGCTAGTCTCCCCGTCAGACGCTATACCTCCTTGGCAGTTTTCGGAGGCTCCATCCCCAAGATAGCCCTTACATTCTTTGGGTTAGCCTCAATCCCCTTTCAGTTAACCATGTGGCCAAGAGATTTTTAACTTAGATTGTGAAGGTGCACTACTCTGGGTTCAAGTAGAGATTCACCTTCATCATGATAGAAAAAACTTTTTCGAGACCTTGACGTGATCTCAGACCTCCGTGGACTTTACAATCATATCATCTACATAAGCTTTCATGGTTTGTCCAAGGATATGTTTGAAAACCAGGGACACCATCCGCGTGTAAGTCACTCCAGAATTCAAAAGGCCATATACCATTACCATGTAGGAATACAATCCTTACGGGCTCATGAAGCTAGTCTTTTCAACATATGCAGGAAGTATTCAGATTTGGTGATACCCGCTGAAAGCATCCTTAAAGCTCATCAATTCTAATCCGATAGTCTCATCCACCATCTGAACGATGTTAGGTAGAGGACACAGAATCATGTGGTAGGCTTTATTAAGGTCTGTGTAATTGACACACATCCTCCAAGATGGAGGCTTGGGTGCCAACACTATGTTTGCCGACTAGTCCGGGTACTCCAGTTTATGTCCTATGCTCTAGAAGGTCGCCACCTCCTTTTTCAGGAAGTCTATCCTCTCTTTGGGACAAGTACCTCCATTTTTGCTTGCCTCATTTTGCTGCGGGGAGAAAATTCAAACAATGGACCGTTATCTTGTGGTTCAATCTCTGTATATGAGCTAGACTCCAAACAAACACTTTCTTGAATCTCTTAAGCATAGTGATGACCCAGCTTCTCAGTTTAGCCCCCAGTACTTTCCTTATCTTTACCATCCTTCCTCGGTTCCCAAGATCCACACTAACCTCCTTAATCTCTCTGGTGACTTCTACCTTGGGTCTCTTGAGCATTTGTGATGTGATCTCGTTCACCTACGTATCAAACTTGATTGGCTTCTTAGTGGCCTTGAGGTACTAGGCCCAGGATACCCTCTGAGATCCCCTGGCCATTTCCACGCCCGAAGGGGTTGGGAATATAATGTCTAGATTCTTGAGCAAAATGACACACTCCAAGTCCTAGTCTTCCCAAGATTAGATTTGTGTTAAAAATAATTCCAACAACCACAAAATGGAGTACTTGAGTAGGCTAAATGGAGAAGCTTATGGATACCTTGAAGGAAAGAAGGAACTTAGACAAGGAGACCCTCTATCCCCTTTGTTCTTTGTCCAAGTAATGGAGTACTTGAGTACTTGAGTAGGCTTCTTTAACAAATAGCCAAAACAAAGGAGTTCCAATTCCACCCAATGTGCAAATCACTCAAATTGGTTTACCTGAGCTTCGTTGATGACCTAATCATAGTATGCAAGGCAGAAGACAAATCTATAAAAGCTATTATGGATACCCGGGAGACTATTCAAAAGAGCACATGTTTGGGAATAAATTAAAATAAGTCACAAATTATATTTGGAGGGGTAGATAAGAAAAACCAAGAGACTCCTTAAAATGACAAATTAAATCTTCCTCTTGGAGATCTCCCTATCAGAAACCTTGGGAGCCCAATATCTGCAACAAGGATAGGTGAGAAAGAATGTACAGATTGGTATGTAGTATTGCATCAAAAATCTCATTATGGGCCACTAGAGACTTGTCATATACATGTAAGTGTCAATTGGTTAACTCAGTGTTGTTTGGAATCATGACCTTCTGGAGTCAACTCTTTATTATCCCATCTAAGGTCATGAAAAAAGTACAAAACATATGTAGAAACTTCCCTCGAGGGTCCAAGTCTAGCTACTCAAAAGTTTCTCTTGTGAATTGGTAAGAAGTATGCCTGCCCAAAACATATGGAGGGCTGAGATTGAGGAATATGACTCTATGAAACAGAGCATTCATACATAACTATTGGTGGAATGTCACCAAAAAGAAGGACAACCTCTGGGTGAAATGGATGCATGAACGCTATATGAAGCGGGAGGTGGAGAACTATAAAATGAGGGGTGATGGATGTTTCTATTGGAAGAACTTTATCTAAAACGGAAAGTGGTTTGAAAATATGCAGATTACCAAGGAGTATTGCACAGAGGAGGTCTGGGCTCCTTTTTGAATTTTTTAAAGAAAATGTTACAAAAGAAAATGAAAAATAATTTTTTTGACTTTCTATTTGTGTTAACACAGTAATAAGAAATAGAGTAAATTTCATTAACGGTCCCCAGTTATAGGTCATTTTACATATTTAGTCCCTACATATCAAATATCAATAATTTAGTCACCAATTATTATATTCTTTCCCACAAATAGTCCTTTGCTAACATTTCCATTACGAACATGGATAAAATTGTATATTCACACCATTCTCTTTTTTAATTAAGCTTCCTCCCTCCTCTCGTACTCATTCCCAAATACGTCTTAGAGTTTGAAGCTCTAAACCCTAAACTGAAATGATCATTCCTTTTTTATTGTTCATCTTCCTGGTGGAACCCAAAATCAAATCCAATAACCTTCATGGATGAGTTTAATGAGTTAGTCTTATGAAATTGCAAAGAAAACAAACCTTAAAACTTATCTATTAAGGTTACTCATTTTGATTTTGAATTCTACTAGGAAGACGAACAATTGAGAGAAAAGGGATGATTTCGATTTTGGGTTCAAAACTTCAAACTCAGCGACGGGTTTTGGAAAGAAGTGCAAGAGGAGTGTGAATTTACAATTTTATCTACATTTTTAACAGAAATATTAACAAAGGATCAATCGTGGAAAATAATATAATAATTAGGGATAAATTATTGATATTTGATATGTAGAGACTAAGTATGTAAAACGATCTATAATTGGAAATTTGGAATTTACTCTAAATAATATACCGTGCAATCCCTATTCTTCTCCCCCTTCGTTTAAATAAAATAACTAATCATCATTTTCACCCACTGGTTGGCATTTGCCTGCACATTTTCCCTCTCGATCGCCATCGCAATCTCAATCTCAATGGCGTCCGGGAAACATACCGATCCAAAGATGCAATACATTAGCTCTTAATACCGGTCTGATACATTAGCTCTTAATACATTAGCCATTACAGCAACATCAACCATCCTGGTAAGCGATTCATGTAGTTATTCTCCCAGATTTCGGATCTCCATCGATGCCTTTTGCATTTTCGAGACCCATTTCTCCCCTTTGATAGCAATCTTGTTTTACCTGAATTTTCTTTCTTCTCACACTTCAGACCAAAAAATCCCCTTCCATATTGATTCTTTGAATTATTTCCTCGATTGATCCATGTTGGCATATGTTGTTGTCTTTCCCTTGTTGGATCAGTAGGTGTATAATACATCCTGATGTAATTTGTGAACGCTGCATCTAACATCCCACTTCAAATGAAGGCAGGAAATGAGCATATTTTACAAAAAAATACCAACAAATGAATGTAAATTCGGTTATACTATATAATTTGCATTGCAAAATAGCCCTTCGTAGAATTAGATTATTATGCTTGTGGTAGAATTATTCAACTTCCATATTGATAGATTTGAATTGATGAAATACAACCATCCACGCACAAATATACTGGTTATAGTTATATTAATTGCCATTGTAGCTGACCGATTGCGTGATTTTGAGTGATATGCAGGGATGAGCTGGAGAGATCTTTTGGTGCAAATAGATTAACAGAAGTGATCAGATTGTACAGCAACTTCATTACAAACAAGAAAGTGTTGAAAGGCCAGCTTGGCAAATTTCTTTTCCAAAAAAAAATGGCGTTAGGGAAATACTCTAGGATTGATGACAAGAAATCATCGTCTTCTCATTGTTCCACGGCAACTATAGTGGTTTTGGTAGCCCTTTGCTTGGTGGGGGTGTGGATGATGACATCGTTATCTATTGTTCCGACAGACGATGTGTCTTCCCAGGAGAGAAATAGTGAACCGATGACACAAGTGAGTGAGCGTAATGAGAATAGTTCAACTGATGAAGGCAAACCAAAACCGTTTGATGATAATCCAGGTAATCTACCAGTCGGTGCAACTGATAAGGACACTGCAGTTCAAGACGAAAAGGTTACAGGTAGCCAAGATGCAACAACCACAGGAGAAAACCAAGTGGAGATTGACGATAAATCTGTGGTGGAAGAGAAAAAAGAGGAACCCAAGTTTGAAGGCGAACCTAAGGGTGTGTTGGATAATGTTGAAGAGAAGAAGGAGAATGAAGAATTAAAAGGAGAGGATAAAGAGTTTGAAGTAGGAGAGAAAACTGAACCCAAGTCTTTTGGAAATGATGCTGAAATAAAACCAGAAGAAACCCCTACCGATATCAAAAATAGTGGTGACAAGGAAAATGGCAAAGCAGAAGAGAAGGTGGATGATACAAAGGACCAAGAAACTTCTGGTGTTAATCTAAATAATATTTCTCCTGTTCAATCTCCACTCCCCTCAGACGTTTCAAAAACAACCAATGCTTTTGGTGACAAGGAAAAGGTAGAACCAGATATGACAGAGGATAACAAGGACCATGAAGGTTCTGGTGAGATAAAGGACAAAGTGAATGATGTGTTTCCTTCAGCAGCTCAGGCCGAACTTCTAAATGAAACCAGTACACATAATGGAGCATTTTCAACCCAGGCAATAGAGTCAAAGAATGAAAAAATAGCAGAAAAGTCTTTTGAACCAGAAAAAGGGAAAGGGTACAGTTGGAAATTATGCAACGTAACAGCTGGCCCTGACTACATCCCTTGCCTTGATAATCTGGAAGCAATTAAGCACCTTAAGAGTACAATGCATTATGAACACAGAGAAAGACACTGCCCAGTTGATCCTCCCACTTGCCTCGTTCCCCTCCCAGAAGGATACCAACGGCCAATTAAGTGGCCTACAAGTAGGGAAAAGGTAATAACTGTTTTTTAGATCAAATTTTAACTTTTACACAATTCTTTATCCTGATATTTTTATTTCTTTTTTTTCCTTCTCATAGATATGGTACCACAATGTTCCACACACCAAGCTTGCAGAGTATAAGGGACATCAGAATTGGGTCAAAGCTAATGGTGAATACCTTACCTTCCCTGGTGGTGGAACCCAGTTTGTACACGGTGCTCTTCATTATATTGATTTTATACAACAGGTTAGCACCGAGTATTTTTCAATAGTCTAGAATCTAGCCCATCGAATTTTGGGTTAAAGGTTGGATGCCCAAGTCGAGTGGAAGGTGGGTTGAACAGAACTAACTATTTGGATTTGTTACATTTCAATACAATAACCATTGACCATAGCCTGCACTAACGAACAGGAGACAATAAGGGAAAACTAGAACTCAAATATTGCTACTCACACAAAATATTGACATTGGAACTAAATGTGATCAAGCACTTCGTATTCATAAATAGGACTTGCTCCCTGAATCTCAAAGCATAAGACATTTACTTTTCTTTATGAGAGCAGATAAACTCTAATCTTTTTACTTTGATAAATTTTGCTTCGAATTGGACCTAAGTCTAATCAAATCATCTTTAAAAGTTAAGAGGCAGTCCCTTCATAGTCGGAAGGCAGTTATTAAGCTCTCTCCACATAAAGTTCTCAACCTTTGATGGAATCCCAACTTTCCAAATGAACGGACAGAATCCTCTGTTTGTGTCCCCTTGACCTTTGTGAGCAATAAACATCTTGTATTCTGTTTTAACAGAATAATTACTTTTTGCCTCCCCAAGCCATGCTCAAGAGTCCTGATGGGAATGTGAACTTTATGGTATGCAACGTATGGCATCTCACTCAGCAGCCAGAACAGTATCTCAAGCATCTTCGCATCCCAACTGTCATTTATCAGTCAATGAGCACCTCAACTTTCATCTCCTCGTTTCCTTCTAAAGAATGACTAGTGACGAACTTGCCATACATGATGCGAAACAAGGGCTACCAGTACACCCATGTATCTCTACTGTCATTCACTCATCTGAAACATCATTTGATAAAAAAGTAAAGGAAAATTTACAAAAAAAGAGAAGAAGAAGAAGAAGAAGAAGAAGGAATCGAGTAGTCTGTAATTCTGTATATGTAAAAAGTTATCCCTTTCTCATTTTGTCATTTCATTTGTAGGACTAATTTCAAGGGTTTTTAGGGCCGTACAACTTTATTCCTTCTAGTCTCTTCCTCACTTGTAGATACAAATGTAGTGTTTGGTTTTAAAAAGATCATACATCTTTTTTTACTTACGGGATGCTTATAACAATATGATTGTAGTCTGTGCGTGACATTACCTGGGGAAAACGCACGCGTGTTGTATTAGACGTAGGGTGTGGTGTTGCAAGCTTTGGAGGCTATCTTTTTGATAGAGATGTGTTGACAATGTCCTTTGCTCCCAAAGATGAACACGAAGCTCAGGTGCAGTTTGCTCTCGAAAGGGGCATTCCTGCTATTTCTGCTGTCATGGGTACAAAGAGACTTCCCTTCCCTAGTAGAGTCTTTGATGTTGTCCATTGTGCACGCTGCAGAGTGCCATGGCATATTGAAGGTATTTCATTCATTTTTTACTCCTTTTTTTGTTTTATGTGGTTCACACATAAGATCATTTTTTTAAGAAATCAATTCAAGGCAAATGTTTTGCAAAATGACACTAATATGACTAGGTCACTCATATTACTTCGTAATATTTTACGGTACGATGCACCATTTGTAGATGGAAAATGGTAATAAGGGAAAGTAAGCTAGTAATGCGCTCTTGAGTTTTTAGTCAATTTGGAACATGGAAATTAATGCAGAAAGAAAGTATGAAGGAAAATTACAATGAAAGAAAATGCCAAGTAAAAGTAGCTTTACTTGGCATTTTTTTCTTTGCCTAGAACTTTCCTGGACCTGAACATACGAAAGTAACAATTGTTTGGCAACATTTCTATCTCTCTAAAACGACAGTAACAAGAGTATTTGCACCTTTCCAAACGATATGCATAGTTAAAAGCTACTAAGCAAAGTTAACCTTTTTTTATCTTGTATGTATTGTCACTTTGGTAAAGACAAGCATGCTGTATCTCTTAACATCTGTACTTTATCACATATTTGTACAGTTGTACACAGTATGCGTAATGTTTTGTTCAACATTAAGCTCCTTTTCACGTCCTAAAAATTATTGGTATTTCATAGGTGGGAAACTTTTATTGGAGCTGAATCGTTTGCTCCGCCCTGGTGGTTTCTTTGTGTGGTCTGCAACACCAGTTTACCGGAAAAATCCAGAGGATGCTGGCATCTGGGAAGGTAGACAAGACAGCATTTAACTGTAATTTGCTGGATTAATTGATAAAAACTAATGAATTTTGAGCAAAAATGCAATTTTCACTATAAATTCTAATTGTAGCAAAACTAGCAACGTCTTTCACGGTCACTTTCTAAAAATTGCAAATCAATTTTATTTGACATTGAGATTCAATGGCATATTATGACATCGGGCACCTACGATGCTCCATTGGGCCCAAAAGTGGTTCCTACCCCCCTAATTCCCTCCCCCCAAACCCCTATGCCCCATCTCCATTTTGCTCTTTGGGTACAGTACCAAAATGGCAAAATGGAGAGGGAGGGTTGGGTTTGGGTGGGGGGACCACTTTCTGGCCCAACAGAACACCACAGGTACCTCAAATGAACCAATGCCATAATATGACATTGGTGCTTTATGTCAAAAGAACCAAACTATATTTACTATACTATATTGTCCTATTGCAAATAACTTACTATCTTCTACATTGGGAACGTGGCAGCGATGAAGAATCTTACCAAATCAATGTGCTGGGACTTGGTTTCAATTACTAAGGACAAAGTTAATAAAGTAGGGATCGCTATATATAGAAAGCCTACATCTAATGATTGCTATGAACAAAGATCCCAAGGTGACCCTCCACTCTGCCAAGAATCTGATGATCCTGATGCATCATGGTACTCTTTTTTCCCTTCTATACTACTCGTATAAATTTAGTAATGGCCTTTGAAACACTTTTGTCAAAGACATATACTATTATCTCTTCTTTTGGAGTCTCTGGTGCATTTATTTTGTAATTTCTTACAAATATTTGGTTTGATAGGAATGTGCCTTTACAAGCCTGCATGCATAGAGTGCCAACTGCTCCACTAGACTGGGGGTCTCAGTGGCCAGAGCTGTGGCCTAGTAGGTTGGCAAAATCTCCGTATTGGTTACAGAGTTCCCAGATAGGGGTGTATGGGAAACCAGCACCAGAGGATTTTGATGTTGATTATCAACACTGGAAGCGAGTGATTTCCAAAACTTACCTGAACGGAATGGGGATTGACTGGTCTATTGTGCGGAACGTCATGGACATGCGTGCCATCTATGGAGGGTAACCTATCAATTTGCTTTTTCATTGTGTGTGTGTGTGTGTGTTTTTCTTGAAACTTGAAAATGAAGCATATGAATTACACTTTCTACCTGATGCATGTACCAGCTCCTTCGTAAGCCCTTAAATTTTATTCCAAATTACACACACTATTAAATGCTATACTTAGGGTCCATTTGGTTTGAGAGTTTTGGAGATGAAATTTTTGAATTACTAGGTCTATATCTTGCTAAGAAAATGAATAAAGGGGTGGTTAAAATTTTACGGAGTATATGATTATTATATTATCACCTATTATGTTATTCTTTCAATTTTTGAGAAGTATAAAGTAGTCCTCCAAACCCCTCTCATCCAAAGGCCACCCCAACGAGTGGGAAAGCGTCTTGGTTTGCTTAAGCACTCCATTCACACTAACCCTTACTACACGTGTTCCTCTCATTTATAATTATTGTTAAAGAGTATCCCACATCGGAACTTGAAGAGGAAATAAACCGGTATATAAGCCCTTGAGTTGAACTAACTAATCGATTGGATTCAATCTTTTAATGTGGTTCAATTCAAGTGTCTTATTACCCAATCCAGATGTCCATACCCCATCCTAAATTCTATCATGGTATCAGAGCAGGTTTTGGCCCACCTCGTTTGTCAAGGTGTCCGTCTAGACGTTCATTCCTAGCGGCCCATTTGTCTTTAGCCCAGTTGTCCGTATGGAGTATGTACCCAACGGCCTGTGGCCCGTTTAATACGATGGCTCGTCTGGAAGTCCATATCCAGCGGCTCGTGGTCCTTTAGGTGTTGGCGCTCAAAAAAAATCAAGGGAATGTGAGTTTATTTGCAAGTGGTCAACCGGTTATATTCAAAATGGCCCAGTTGTCCACTTGAGGGGAGTGTTAAAGAGCATCCCACATCGGAAAAGTGTGAGGAACACCTCTGATATAAATGACAAAATACAATAAAGTGGCAAGGCCATTCCTGCCCTGACTCCACTTAACGCTTGTTTAAAGCAGGGGTAAAAATTTTAACAAGAAATGACCACATCTTCATATTAACAAATATATAATGGAAAAAAAGATTGTTTTTTTTTTGAAGTTTTCGTATCAAGAAGACTTGAGACAAAGTTGCGGGTATGGGGTCAAGATGTACGGGGTCTTATCCTATAAACAATAGATAGACTCTTTCCGTCAAACCCTTGATGCATTGCTGCATTACTACCCAAAGTTATATGGTAAGTATTCCCCTAAGTAAAAAAGGCTAGGGAAGTTTAACATGCTGTTTTAAATCTTTTGATTTACTCTATTATTTTGCCTGAAGCTAAAACATTATCAATAATGATCCTTTCAGCTCCATCAGTATAAGGGGCTGTTTGTTTCAGCCTCTTAATGGTTCAGATGTCTGAATGGTTCAGCACTTAATGGTTCAGACTGTTTGTTTCAGCCTCTTAATGGTTCAGATGTCTGAATGGTTAAGAGATTTGCCTCTGAATGGTTAAGTATTATACAGAGTCTGAATGGTTAAGACCTCTTATCTGAATTGATCAGACATTTGCCTCTGAATAGTTAAGCAATATACTAGCTCTTAATGGTTCAGACCTCTTACTGGTTCAGCACTTAATGGTTCAGACCTCTTACTGGTTCAG